AATAGTAGTAATTGTATTGCGATTCATAATTTTTTTTCAAAGCAAAATGTCTTATTTTTTCTGTAGTTAATATCTAAACAACTCTTTAAATATCAATATTTATTTAATCTTATGTAATCTTAGCACACGAATCAGCACTATTAGCAGACGAACCAATAGTAAGTAGGAATTATAAAGTATATATTTACACCAAAGCTTTTAATTTAGCGGATTTGTAGGAACATAAAAGCTTAAATATTCTGTTTCATTTGTGTCAACTAATGAAATTTATGGTATTATGATCGGAGAAATTTCTAAATATTGTTGCAAATTATGATTTTGAAATTACGTTTATTATTTATTACAGTGGTTCTCAAACTTATGACTTTTGTGTACCCCTTCTAAATTTTTTCTTAACGCTGTGTACGACTGATAAAAAAATTAATGTGTTTTTTACTATTAAAAATATTGCACAAAAGTTAAATATCACTGTTGTTGACGCCACTAAATATTAACTGTTAACTCTGCAAAAAAATAGCCAATAGAAAAATACGTAATCGTAAATTTTCATGGCTAGCTTTGTTTTTGAATAAAATTTTCATTTGCTGCAAGATATTTCACATAAGAACGCCTACCCCCTCTAAACTGTTGCCATACCCTAGGGGTACGCGTACCACACTTTTGGAAACGCTGATTTATTACAATCTTAATTTTTCTTGCTTTCAATTTCTTAAAAAATTATACAATTCGTAAATGGCTACTTTGGTACGTATTAGTAAAAAAAGAATATCGGGTAATAATTTAAAAGATAAATAAGTTAATATTTTTAATACTCGTTACAGCTTTAATTATAGTTAACAATTACTTTTTTCAAACTTTTTAAATTTATAAGAAAATACATCTTGTCTTGAAAAGAACAGATCTGAATAAATATTCACTTCCTATATCAATTGAAGTTATGAGACCTAAATTAACTGCGCCATTGGAAGAAATTTATTTTTTGCTAAGTGAGGTAATTTAAGTGATTTCTAGCACATAGCTGTGAACTATGGGATTAATAAATACAAAGGATTTATTTATTTTACATATAATTGCGCATACTACAATTACAAATAAACGTTTTAAAAACATGGCGTACTCTAAAAGTGATAGCACAAATCAGCTAACTTCATAAGAAAGAGTGAACAGAAACCACATCACAGGTTTGGACGGCACTTGGAACTAGTTAGTAACGCACTCTTAAAATTTTTTCGGATGATTTATATTTTTTACGGTGCTGCTACGTTTCAAGTATGATGCTTTTTTCTTTATTCATTACATACTGAAGTCTATTTATTTCAATGATATGAATTCGTATTCAATATCTTAACGAAATTTTCCGAGTCACAAGCATCGCTCTTAAGCATTGAGGTAGCTGGTCTGATTCCCGATACAACCTGCATGTATTTTTCACTATATTTTGTGATGTCCTTTCGCAATGAGGATATCAGCTCTTCAACTAGCTGTGCGAATTAGCCCTTCTAGCACACAAGGCAGCTTACTTTATTAATTCCATACAAGAGCTATCATTAACTGTCTGGATTTACACTTAATGATGATCTGCAGGTAATACTAGCGCACGTGCACATTGGATTATGGAGGAAAATGTGTATGTTGGTAATCACCTGATCTCTGCACCACGCTTCCCAACCTTTCAACAACGCGAGGGAATTTTTCGGATCTAAAACCAGTGAATACAGGGGTACACTGGAGTAGATTCTGAACTATTAAGGCATGACTAGAGAGAGTGCAGTTCGATCAGATACTTTGTCTTTAAAGCGGAACAATCGAACCTTGATCCAAGTCGTCATAACTGAACACTAATACCGTTACATGGCCTAGGCGGTTAATAAAAGTCAGATAAACTCATCACACACAAGTATAAAATAAAAAAATGTGTTGATAATTCTTTATTCACACTAGAAAGCTGATGTATGCATTAATCAATAAAAGACAATAAGTATGAAATATAACTGTAAAATTAAAATATTCTATCGTAAAGTTTTGGACATCCCCTCGGAATAAGATGAAATTTGTGATCACTTGTCTTCAGATTATTCTCATGAATGTTTCTCAGATCGCTGCCAATAGCCTATAGTGCTATAAAGCTTTCACCTCCCAAAGTGGTGACCCAGCGGTGGCCGGTTGATACGAATTTTATTATCTGCTCGTACCGACGACAGTGCTAACGTGAAATATTCCAGAATGCTAGACGGGTCATGGTGTGGAATCCCCTTAACATCCGGCTAATCGTGAGAGGTTTTAGTAGTTTTCTTATCCATGTAACGCAAATGAGGATTAATTCCATCAATAAGTCTTTCACGAAGGCTAATTTTTCCAATGCTTGATTCATGAGTTCTTTTGTCTTCTGGGCTGGGTTCAAAATTACAATACTAAATTTTGAGTTGACAATCATAAACTCAAAATTCGGTCAGCTCTTCAACGTTGGAACTAAATAAAATAGTTCATTGTGCAGCTTTAGTGCGCTGTAAATATAGTACTAGTATTTATAATTGTTCTTCATTAACTCTTATAACTGTTCTTTATATACACCTATTTATGTATGAATGATAAAAGAATAATTAATCTCGTCACTTACACGTTACAAGCCTTTTATTACTCTGTATCCAATATTCACTTATAAATTAGTTAAGTTGTGTGTAAAAGCTTCCTATATGCCTTTTGCCAATTGATGAGCAGATAGTACACACAACATGGGGTTCTTAAGCAACAACTAATGAATTTCTTACAGTGTTATTTTAGTTTTCCTTTTGACGATACACTCAGGTGTTCCAGAGGCTTAACCAGATTATTACATAAAAGGCAGTAGGTTCGTTCTCCAATAAACTGAAGAATTGAAGTGTAAAATAGATCCATTTGCTAACTTTAAAAGGGAATCGAAGCTTCTGTTTGGTGTTTTATGAAATTTGTTTTACCTTAGTTAGATTCCCGCTTGTAAATGCTGAGGATTTTTATTGACTTCGAGACACGAATCTGCTATCAGTTTTAACACATGCATTTAGTGCCTTGGCCACCCCGGCCATTTATTGCACTGAGCATATAAGACTACAATATATGAAGTCATTTTCGTCAAGAAAATAAGAACACGTGTGAATTTTGAAAATGTCGACTGAAGATTTTTTTTGCGGTAATTCAAGTGAATTCGAACTTTCTTGTTATCTAACTATTGTATTATGAACTTGGCTGCGTGATTACTAACTTGACTATTTTATAATGAACTTTAGAGAAGAGAGGGTTTTCAGTAGATCACAAATGTCGAGCATCACAAGCAGCATTCAGTGAGCTGGTGGGTGATCAATTGGATCAGCCCACGAAGGGACCAAGGATGTGCGGTATCGGTCCTTGTTAAAGTGTTCTACCATAAATGCTCCATTTCACTAGCAGGTCATCAAGCAACCAAAGCGGGGGATCCATCACCTCTGCTCTGTATTAAAATTGTGATTGCATGTCCTCGGATCTTTATAGAAGATGTTGGCTAGATTACCACCCATAGTTCATTGGACAGTTCAAGTGCAACGTAAATAAAGTACCAGTACTATGAACGTTGCTGTATTAATAGGAACTTGGCAGTGTGGATTGCAAACTTGGCAGATTTATCATGAATTAATAGGGTCCCGCAGTGGACTGATCGTTAAGACACGGTTCCCAGCAGATCACCGAAGTCAAGCATCACTGGCTACGGTCAGTGTGCGGGTGGGTGACCACTTGGATCAGTCTGCGTAGGGACCGAGGGTGTGCGGTATTGGTCCTCGTTAAACTGTGCTACCGTAAAGTGCTCGACTTCGCGCGCAGGTCGTCGGGCTACCGAAGCGGGGGTGCCATCCCCTCCGCAGAGGATCAAAATTGTGATGGCATGTCTTCGGATCATCCTGCGGGATGTTTCCCAGACCGTCGCCAATAGCCCATTGTGCAGCTCTAGTGCGACGTAAATTAAGAACAAAAACATGAATTAATAGGAGCCTTGCAGTATTAATATAAAATTTGCTGTGTTATATTATGAACGCTGCTGATTTTTGTACTTCAAAAGTTAATATCATAGGACGTGAACACTCTATATTTTTAGATGAATTTCTTATGAACGAATTTATTCCACATTTCTAATTTTATTCATATGTGTTGATAATGAATTAAAATGTTGTTTATTTTATTGCATCGTCAGTGGATAATACGTACTGATAAAAATGTTTTTGCTCTTCTCATCACTCAGGAACATGTCACCAATAGTGCAACTCTAGTGCGACGAAAATTAGCTACTACCCACCCTTTAATTCATTCTAAAGTATTGGTACTGAAAACAAGTGAGCTATAACAGTATTGCAGCGAAGAACTCCAAAAATGCCCATCAGTCATCATCATCACCAATAAGGAGACTCTCCTGACCGAGTGGTATCATCCGCTATACTCTTTGCAGGGTGTAGGTAGCGGGTTCGCTTCCGTAGCCCTGGTTGTATTTTTGTGCTGTCCTTTTCTGAATATTTTTTAATGTCCCGCAGTACACTGATTGCTAAGACACGGCTCCCAGCAGATCACCGAAGTCAAGCATCACTTTCGGCGGTCAATGTGCGGGTGGGTGACAGCGTGGATCACTCTGCGTAAGGACCGAGGGGGTGCGGTATTGGTCGTCGTTAAACTGTTCTACTGTAAAGTGCTCGACTTCTCGTGCAGGTCGTTGGGCTACCGAAGCGAGGGTGCATCCCCTCTGCAGAGGATCAAAATTGTGATGGCATGTCTTCGGATCATCCTCAGGAATGTTTCCCAGAGACAGTCGCCAATAGCCCATTGTGCAGCTCTAGTGCGACGTAAATGAACTACCACAACAACAACTGAATTTTTTAATCTGTTTTATGACTTCACAAAGGCGGGGGTGCCATCCCCTCTGCAGAGGATCAAAAATGTGATGGCATGTCTTCGGATCATCCTCAGAGATGTTTCCCAGACCGTCGCCAATAGCCCATTGTGCAGTTCTAGTGCGACGTAAATGAACTACAAACAAACAAACAAGACTTCACAAAGGCTTAAAAGCCGAACTTTTGAAATTGAGCACAAAAGCTTGCGTGTATGTGTACCAAAAGATAAATAAATATATCAGAAATAAAGGAGGGTCACAATTTATAGTAGAGATTTAAAATGTTGGATTTAATCAAGATAAATGAAGTTATTGATATTTTCCTCATTCTCTGGAATAACGCTTCGTACTAATAAGTAAGTTTAGTCTTTTAAATTTTCTGAAATTAGTTACCAAATGTATACTCTAATGTCTGTATTTAAAATGTGTAATTATTGAATGACAACTTATCTGATACTACATATTATGCAACTACCTAAAAAATGTATGTAAAAATCTAAGAAATTTTCAATCTATAAGAATTGAAAATTTGGTTATATTTAATTAAAGTATGAATGATTGTTTTTAATATCAGGCTATTATAGAAATGTCTTTTTGTTAACATGACTTTAAATATCACACCAATTTTCTGGGTGTAAATAACATTTTACCTTATTATTAAGATGCAGGTCAATATTATGTTTGGATATTTTCTAACGATGCGCAATTTTAATAGATTGTAATGCTAAGTGATTTAAAAAGTGCGTCTTAGTTTCAATTGTAGAATTGTATCCATGGGAAGTATCGGTAGCTAAGGTAGAATTAATTCTTATCGAACCAAAACTGCTATACACAATTATCTTCTCTTATTAAAATTGCCAAACTGAATTGTCGATTTTAGTTTCAAATTTTATAACTGTAATTATCTTTACAGGTTTTGGTGGATTAAAAAATATTTTTAAGAAAACATAAGTGAAATTCATTTTATAACCTAATTTATCGTAATTATTTGCTTTTCATCTGAAATGAATGAGTTATTATTGTCATTTTTAGAGCTATCATTAAAAAAAACAATCCTTTCTATTAGAAATATTAGAACAATTTGTTTTATAATACCGTTAAATTTTTCTGCAACCATATTAAGGTTCAAATTACAGTTATTATGATTAACTGCTGAATTGATTTCTATGTAAGTGTAGAAGATTGATTTTCTTTTAAATGTTTCATGCATGTTTTTTTTAAAATTTCTATTCAATGAAATGTTTTTGAATTAATTCCTTTTTAGAATTACAACAATTTAAAACAAATGTTTTGTTAATAAATTCAGAATTCGATGGACAAAATATGAACTTACTAAAGTAATAAAATTTTATAATTTAAACGTTTAAATATTTTACGAGTTACAGAAAGCTCATAAAGTTATTCCAATTTTTTTCAACGGTTTTTTATTTCAATTTTTTGCATTACACATTAAAGCTCTGGGAGGAATAACAAATTTATTCCTCTCGCTGTTTTTTAATGACCTCAGCTTTAATCGTCATAAAAACTTCGAAAGCTTTATCACTAAGAAGATCTTTGTGAAAGAGTAATTTTTTATTATTTTTCATCTTTTAATAGGTTTTAAAGAGCTTTTAATACTTTATCATTAAAGTCACAATAAGCGCCGGATTTGTGAAATAAAAATTTTGAAACAAAAACACTGAGAAAAATGAAAAAAAAAGACATTTAAACTTTGCAAGTGAGCATAGAAAAGCTGAATAAAGCATAGGATTTTATTGACTTTGCCTTTAGAAGTACAGGTCGTAAAAATTTTTTAAGCCTCAGGCTTAGATACATGTATTTTTATTTTTTAATGTATTAAATATAAAAACATTAAATAAATCTTTTATTTCATGTTTTTACACTTTCTCTTATGTAGATGTAGCGAATTATTTTTATCAGATTCGAAAAAAGGGCATTTGATTATGTTTCGCTTAAAAAAATTATATGTTCTTTTGAAAGATAATTTAAATTGTAAAACCCAAAATTCTTAATTTTAAAAAGAGTCTCATTTCATTCTTTTTGTAACCGTAAACCTTTCACTCACAAACTGCAATTCTTCTCCAAACTGCTGTTTTTTCCTCTTTTTTTTTTAAAAAAAAAACGGAGTTTCAATTTGTTTCTTATGGTTAAAATATAATATGCTTGACAACTGAATCCCACAGTGGACAAATTATCGTAAGACATGGATTCCAGTAGACCACCGAAGTCAAGCATCACTGACTATGGTTAGTTTTCAGGTGGTTAACTAATTAATTCAGGCTACGAAGGGACAGAGGGTGTGCGGTATTGCTCCTTTAAACTTCTGCAGAAAAATACTCTACTTCGCGTGCAAGACATTTTGTACGAAGTAAATAAATCACTACAACTATAATTCTTGAAAACTGGAAGATGTAATGCAATATAATTTCTAGCTACTTATTTCATCAAGTTACGAAATTCAAATTCGTTTAAATATTTAAAGAGCTTTAAAAAATATGGGAAATTCGAATCTAAAGAATAAAACAGTGCTGTTACTTATTCTATTATAAACTTCTATTTGATCTATGCCTTTCAAATTTTCTACAATAATAATACAGTCCGAAGTAATACTATATCGTACGAGTTAAATGGTACAATACAATGGCTAATCTAGAAAGTGTGTGAAGAACTAGAACTTAAGTGCATGATTATTCAATTCCTCTTTGAGCAATTTTTCTAAGATTATCGTAAAGTTGTCACAGAAATTTAATCAACTGTAGAATGATTCCCACGGTTTTAATCACGTAATAGAGAATATCTATTTTTTTGACCCACTTTAAAAGAAATTAATTTTTAGCAAACAAATATTTTCGTTTTCTTATATATATATAATTTGTACTTATCTCACATGGAGAGAAAAATTTTGGCAAAATTAATATACTTGTATTGTAAAGAAATTTCTGGCAAAAGAAACCATAACTCTGGTAACTAATTATGGCATTTAAACCATTCACTTGTTAATTTTACTGCTCGCAATTGTAAAGGCGATCTGGCTTCTTAAGATTCTGGCTTCTTAAGATTATAGTTCTTGTTACATTTAACAACAAATACAAAACTGAAAAGTAAATTTAACCAAATAAATTACTTTTATGCCATTTCTTAAGTATCACCAATCATTAAAGCTTCAAGAGCTTTTTAAATAAAATATTATTTACTAATCTGAACATTTTGCATCGCCTCAAACTAGTACGGTTAAAAATTTAGAATTTTCGTTAAAATGATCAAATTTTACATTTGATGAAAATTATCGAATTTCACATTTACACCAAATAGCATGGTAATAAAAAAAAACATATTTCATTGTTAATCTTACTGAAAATTCCTTATCAAAGTGCTGTTCTAAACGTCACCATAAAGCAAAAACGTGTTTTTTGTTGTTTCCATAGATCCAGAAACATTTATTTTAAATAAGCCAGCAAACTACCTATTCTGGTAGTGTTAACAATACTTTTTCTTTCAGTGCAATATTGCTAAAGTATACAGGGAATTCCATTAAAATACCCGTTAATGTGTTTTTTAAGATTTTGTACCAAAATTTAAAACAAAGCACATTGAGATGCCCCAAATTAATATTTAAGCGAATGTGGAAAATTCCAATAGGGGAAAGTGGGTGCAATAAGCATCAAAACATGTTTAATTTTATTTTATTTTATAACCGTCATTGAACAGCCAACCCAATTTTGGGTTATCCGGCTAGCACTGACCACAGTGGTGACCTAAATATCCTCGGTGGTAGACGGATTATGGGTTAGTCCCCTTGCCGATAGGCTAACCATGGGAGGTTTTCCTCACAATCTAACTGGTTAGTTCTATCAAAAAGTCCTCCTTGAAGGCAAATTTCTCCCAATACTTGATCCAGGAGTTCCCTTGTCTTCTGGATTGGCTTCAAAATTATACGGCTACGGAATAGAACTTGTTTAATTGGAAGATATTTCTAATAATTGTCTTTAAACTCTGTATGAAACCTGTCTTGTTTTTTTTTCTTTTTTTATAGCCTGTCTTGTTTATTTCATTCGTCCCTGTACTTTGATTGCAAGATTTCATTACCATTTTAGTTTTTCCTTGCTTAAATATAAATTTGCGACTCCTAATGTGCCAATCTTTTTTCGAATTTCTTAATAAGGATTCTAAAAAATGCGCATTAACGATAATCTTTATGGAACACTTTACATATTTCATATTACTGCTTAAGAAATCGTGCACCGTTATAACATAAAACTGAAGAAGATACTTAAATGAATATTTTTTTCATTCTGTCTCCATGAAACAGACCACTTGGATTGGATTTTTGCTTGAATTTTTGTTATTCTGCATTAGAGTTTTCATTTATATGCAGAACAGAATTTTCTAGTTTCAATTTGTTGTAATATCATGTGCCTGTTAAAAATACCGAGAACATTTTCGTTGTATTAACTATTTATTTTTGCAACCAGGAAAGCAGCGAATAAAAATGAGCTTTATTCCGTTAACTATTCAGGCTTGAGCAAAAGCTTTCAAATAAGAAAGACAGAAGCAAAATTACCCCTCTACTTAATCTTATTAACTTTCATGAGTTGTAGTTAAGTAAATTTAAATAGTTCAGAACCAGTTTTTATTATTTTAGCAACTGATGTTATTAACTTGTAGTTATTAACTTTAATATATAATCGTTGTATTAATTTAAATTACATAGAATCAGTTTCTATAAGTTTAGCATGGTTTTTATTATATTATAGCTAGTAAAATTATAGTAAAGTTGAAATTTAATAACAATTAAATAACTTAAATAACCGAACTTCTTTTTTAAATACTCAAATATGAATTACAAATTTTTACAAGGAACGTGTTATCGTAATGTTGTTTAGAAATAACGAAATTTAAATCATAATTTATTATTAGTTAATCATTATTTTTGTTTCTGTATTATAGTGCAAGATAATAGAGTTTTTAAAGTTAGATTGTTTTTGTGAAAAAATAAAATTTACAAATGTTTGTAATAATTTGTGCAAATATTTTTTTAAAAATATTATGCTCCTAGATTGTTTATTCTACTACTAAATGTGTTTACTCAAATTTAATATTGCTTTACGGACAATATTTATTAGAATCATTTGGTAAAAAATAGCTTAATTATATAAACTAAAGCTCTCGTCCTTATATCTAAGTATCGTTGACAGTTCTAAAGATATAAAACATTTTATAAGTTGTTGTGTGATCAAATCTGTGATATTGCGATTAAAATTAAGTGAGTAACAATTTTAAATTTACCGAAAAAAAAGTTTAAAATCCTATAAATTTTTATGTTTTTGGAATTTTTGTTGCTAGTTCTTAATTTTAT